GAAGGAATACCTGGTACACAAAGAAACTGGTACATACTGTGTATCACAGCATGTGTATCTCAAACTTAATCATATATATCTTGAGATTATTTGGTATTTTCACATTAACAAAAAAATCAACATGCTTATATCTATCTTTCTCTGGAAAAATGAAGACCATCATTTTCAACTATACTTCTATGTCCTAACTAAATATAGACATAAGGAAAGTTTTAGTTTAAATATCACAGGAAATGAGTACATACAAATTACCTTCCTCCCCCACCCAAAAGAAAAATTAAAATTATCTGAAAAGACAGATTGGAATAAACAGAAGGGGTTTTGCTATATTTCTACAGTGAAAGTGATGGCATGGAACATTCTCTGTTTGTATTAACATGGAGATCTCAACATTGTATTGGCAAACATGATGATCTATAGGTGTTGTAATTGCCCAGCACTTTGTGTAACTACTGTACACAAGCTTTGCCTTTTTTTTTTAATTTTATTTTATTTTATTTGAGAACATACTGTACAATGTATTTTAATGTTTTTTTCTTTCAAGCTTTGCCTTTTAAAGCATGTGTTTCCTTTATATGTCTGGGGATATTTTTTTAAATTTTATTTTATTTTATTTGTGAACATACTGTACAGAGGGGTTACAATTACATGGGCAGGATAATGCATACATTTCTTACCAAGCATTGCAGCCTCCTCCTTTGTTTACCCTTCACATCCCTTCCCAGCCTCCCCCCTCCCCCCCAATCCCAATCCTTCTCTTCCTTCCCCCCCTTCCGTTGTAAAGCTCGTTTTGGACATGACAACTTGTACTTCTCATTGTTGCAACAGGTCCACCTGTATCCTTAAACAACTGGTTTTTCCCCATCTCCTCCACAAGTTATACTGACATCAAATATAGTGAAAGCAGGGGTTATACTGTGGGGGAGGGACATACAAAGCAACAAAGAGATAATCTTATAAATGACACATGAGATTCTTAAGGCACAAAGATTCTGGGAAAATATTTTGTTTTCCTTATCTCAAAATTGAAAAAAGTAATTGGGTATGGAGGCTCACTGCAATCTCAGCTTCTCAGGAGGCAGAGGTTGGAAGAATTGCGATTCAAGGACAGCCTGCACAAAGAGCTAGTGCCAGCCATCTCAACAGAAAAGCTGGTTTGGGTAGTGCACACCAATGTTACAGCTTCACAGAAGGCATAGGAAAGAAAATCATGGTCTAGGCTGGCATGAGCAGAAATGGAAAACTCTGTTTCAAAAATGACTAAAGTAAAAGGGAACTGTGCAGTGTGGGTCAAGTGGTAAAGCACTTGCTTAACAGGCATGAGGCCCCGTGAGTTCAAACCACAGTGCATGAAAGAATAAATAAGAAATATGTTGGGCGGGGGATATGGGGGAGAGGAAAAGAAGGAGAAAAATAAGGGAGGGAGTAATATGTTCAACAAGAAATATACTCACCACTGTACTTATGTAACTGTAACCCCTTTGTGCATTACCTTGACAATAAAAGTCTTAAAAAGAAATGTGTTCTAAAAAGACAATCAAGGGAAGAAGAGATAAGAAATGATCATTTGATTAATGAAAGTATACAAATCTTTGTTTTGTTTTGTTTTGTTTTTTGGGTCCAGTCGTGGGGCCTGAACTCTGGGCCTGGGTGCTGTCCCTCAGCTCTTCAGCTCAAGGCTAGCGCTCTACCACTTGAGCCACAGCACCACTTCTGGCTTTTTTCTTATGTGGTGCTGAGGAATCGAACTCAGGGCCTCATGCATGCAAGACAAGCGCTCTACCACTGAGCCACCTTCCCAGCCCCAAAAGTATTCAAATCTTAAAGGGCAAATTTATACATAAAATGCACAAATCTCAAAAATGCTTATGAATGAAAACAACCTATGGATAAACTTTCTAACAACCTATGGATAAACTTTCTAGGTATTCTCTTTTATATAGAAAAACTCAAAATATGTAAATAAGAACTTTTAGCAAAGAATCTTATTTCATAACAAAAGGCCTTCTAGTTTTAAATCTCTATATAGATTCAAAGAGAAACCAGGGAGCCAGTGGCTCACACCTGTAATCCTAGTGACTCAGCTACTCGGGAGACTGAGATCTGAGGATCTCAGTTCAAAGTTGGCTCAAGCAGACAAATCCAAGAGACTCTTAGCTGCAATGAACCACCAGAAAGCTAAAACTGGAGGCCTGGCTCAAGTGGTAGAACACTGGACTTGAGTGGGGAGGGGCAGGGCACCAAGGGAAAGCTTGAGGTCCTGAGTTCAAGCACCAGTACTAGCATTAAAAGAAAAAAAAACCCAAAAAGATAAAAATACAAAATGTTCTCTACTTTAATTGTTAAACAAATGCATAACCCCTCTCCCCCAAAACATTTCTCCCTTACGACCAGGAAGCTCAGTCCACCTTGCACACTCGTTTGATCCTCAGTCACTGGCTATTGGCCTGTGTAAACTGTTTCTGTGTTGGTGTGACATATTCTCACAGCATCATTAATGTCGATACCTATGATAGGTGTCAGCACAGTGAGAGCTCTAGTAGTTAAGTTCCATCTTTTGATCCTATGCAGCTGTGTAGAACGCATGCTATGTACCTGTTGTATCCTACAACTGTCTGATCACAGACATCTCAATATTTGCCTGAGGATTCTGCCAGAGATGGAAAGCTACCCCCCCCCCATCCCCAGGCAAGGCTAGTAAGTGGTTCATTTTTGTTTCACCTACTAGTTCTGGGGGAGTTTGCAGTTTACAGTGTTGGGAATCAAATCTCAGGCCTAACACCGGCCAGGCAAGCACTCTACCAGGAGCTCCCTCCCCAGTCTCTGTGCAGGGAGAAGGACAATCAGCACAATCATGATGCGAACTAGTACAGAGGTTCCTCAAAAAAAAATTATAGATAGAACACCCATATGATCTAGAGGTTCCAGCACGGGCTGTATTTCCAAATAATGTGAAAGCAGAATGTCAGAGACTTTGCTGTATTCTCCACTTCACTGCAAGGTTACCCACCATAACCCTGATAAGAATCCAATGCAATGTCCATTAATAGACACAAAAGGAAGGAAAACTGGGGAGGGGGGTGCACTCCCTAGCCTTTTCCTGCTTTACTAGAAACCACAGGCAGCCCCTGGCATGATCTCTGCTCCATCTTCAAAGCCAGCGCTGGGTTACTTCATATCCTTAGCTCTGCTGCTGTCATGTCTTCTCTGAGTGACCCTCTTGTCTCCCTCTTGGAAGGACCTGGGGGATTCTCCTGAGGCCATTCCAATAAGCTTATCTTTCATCTTCCCATCTCAAGATCCTTAATTCACCCACATATGCATAATTCCCTTGGCCATGCTAATCATGGCAACAGCTCAGTGTTCACTGGCTGTGGCAGAAACCCTAGTGGGTGTGGTGCTCTTAGGCAACTCCCTATCAGCCTTGTAGGAGGGGCTGTGGGCCAGCCTGTGCCCGTGATGCCCAGGCTGCCGCTTCCTACATCGTGAGGAGGGAGAGGCTGCCTAGATCCAGGAGTCTTGTCTTGTCTCGTCTTGTCTTCTACAAGATCTGTGACACCGTCATGGTTTTACCAGTTTTTAAATGGAATAAAAACCTCAAACCCTGATGGGCATCTGTGAGGATTTTTATTTGTTTCAGGTCTATACCTAAATTTCTTCACTAACTACTTCACTAACTTCTCGGTATCCCTTATGCCCAATTCTTCTTTTGAAAAAAAAAAAGAGAAGAAAGAAAAATGCTTCATTTTATCCCTAGTTCCATCTTTAATTCTCAGAACAATGAGTTGAATTCCTATCATTCTCCAAAAAGACCAATTAGTTCTGTTCTTAAGTAGGATAAACTCATGAATGTAGATGTGTGTGTGTGTGTGTGTGTGTGTGTGTGTGTGTGTGTGTGTGTGCCAGTCCCATGGCTTGAACTCAGGGCTTGGGCACTGTCCCTGAGGGTTTTTGCTCAAGGCTAGCATGCTTTAACATTTGAGCCACAACTCTACTTCCAGTTTATTAGAGATAAGAGTCTTACATACTTTCTTGCTCAGGTTTTGGCTTTCAACCTAGAGCTTTAGACCTCATTCTTCTTAGTAACTAGTTACAGGCATGAACTGCTAGCACCAGGTATACATCATTATTTTTATTGATGCTTCAATTAATCTATCTTTAGTCAGTGAGGATTTTTTCAGGGTGGCTCCTGACTCCTTTTGAAATAACCCAATTTCCTTTGATGACTTCCTTCTTTTCTGATATAAAATCTCCTCATTCATTTTGTACATTTCATGCTCCAGAACCTAGACCATTTCTCCAAGAAGCCCTTTTTCCTTTTGGAGGGATTGGTAAGTAGAGACCACAATCTGGGTGTCAGGGGAAGGGTGCTCACGGGTTTGTCTTTGTAGAACCAATGCCAGTTTATGTTTCTTGGCTCTTATTGTTAGATACTACCTCAAAGGCAATTGACAAAATAGAAAATCCTGACTTCAGCCTCACAGTCAGGGTATAAAAGAATTGGGAGTTGAGAAGCAATAGTTTAATAGCCCCCATAGGTGTAGACCATGGTTGTGTATTATTTTTTTCTCTTTGAAATTTTTCAAATAAAATTATCTATACTTTATATACTTTGAAAGATATCTAAGCATATTTAAATAAATACAAATATATTAAAATACATATTTATATATTATAGAATTATATATAGTTTCATATATATATATATACTTTTTCGTGCATTTAATTATTATAAAAGTGATGTACAGAGGGGTTACAATAACATAAGGCAGATAAAGAGTTCATTTACTTTTGGACAATGTCACCCCTTTTCTTGCTTTCTCTGTTTTTCCCTCCCATCCCCATCCACAAGGTTTTTTTGTTTTTGTTTTTGTTTGGGGGGGGGGGTTACTCATCATGCCAAGCTCCTAGCAAAGCCAGGACCAAAAAGGTAAGTTGTGCTCTCTACCTTCCAGAGACTTCAGTAACTGTGACATTAAGGAACTGAGGGAGGACATTTTTAGGACACCAGGACCAACGATCACTAGCTACCCAGGTACCAAAAACTTACGCCTGCAAAATCTCTTGATGTGAATTCTGCACACAGAGCAATCAAGTTGCCACTCTGAGGGAGGACTTCTTAATCCATTAATGTTTCTTAGCATTTGCTCTATTTTTAAATTCTTTTTTTCTTTTTATGTTTTAGTTGTACAAAGGAGTTGCCTTTTTTAAAAAATTTTTGCTGTATAAGTGATATACAGAGGGGTTACAGTTACATAAGTCAGGGATTGAGTACATTTGGTTTTGAACAGTGTCACCCCCACCCAGTTTTTCCCTCCCGACCCTTCTCCCCCCAAATTGTATAGTTCATTTCCAACAGTGTCTACTGAGGATCACTGCTGGTGGGACAAAGTAACTCTCTTAATGCCAAAGCCATACTCAAATTCTCAGCTTTTCATTTTGACAATGTGTTTAACTGCATACTCACAGGCCATCAATAGAGGGCAGCAGCTGACCATGATCTTGTGGACTCTTTTGTTGTTATTTGGGTTCTTGTTTTGTTTTGTTTTTGAGAAGGATCTTCCTGTATAGGCCAGCCTGGCCTCCAACTCCCAGTCCTCCTGCCTCTACCTACTGAGTTCTGGAATTGCAGGAATGCACCACCACATCTGCACCACTTAATCAATCTCCATGGCACTTTCAAGGATGAATCTGGAATAAACATATGTATCTTTCTCTGTCATAGTTTGTTTCTTCCCACAAAGAATGGGAGTTGTTTAAAACATTGAAAATGACATGTCAAAGCAATCTCTTCATAAACTAGAGCTAAAAATGAGCCACATTATCAACAAACTTGATATATATTTTTTACACTTTCATTTGTCAATGTTGCCAAATGATCTTATTGAAGAAAAAAGAAACAGTAGCAACAAACTTACCTGACATTGTATTTTGTGCTACTGAATAGACTGGATGGATAATTCATGCAGATTTATCTCCACATTGAGAAAAACAACAGATTGTATTTTACAAGTATCCAGCAAATCAACATATATGAAAGATATACTAGACATACAGAAGTTCCTTGCAGGTCTTGAAAATTCACACTTGAAAGGGGACCCAATGAAAGGATCAAGGAAAGGATCCTTCACTTCCGTGCCAGGGGACCACGCAGAGGCAGCCAGGCACAGGAGAAAGATTATTACAAGGTTTATTAGAGGAGCCATATTTCTCCCGAAGAAGAGCACATGGCAGCCTTCACTATCTAGGTAGCAGCAGGGTCTAGGGGTTAGGAAGTGAGGTAAATGGGAGTTCAGGCGGGTCTGGGTAGAGAGAGGGAGGGGCCAGCTCTGTGGCCAGAACAAGTCTGGGTGGAACTGAGGACAGAAGGGCATAATGCTTACATTCCCCACTCTGTTGTTTAATAAAAATAGGGGGTACCAGGCCGGGGGGTATAGGTGGAGATGGCTTTTTCTGGAGCTATTTCCTGCTGTAAAGGGGTGAAGTAGTCAGGGGTCCCTGTTTTGTTGCTCCGCCAGATACCATGCAAGAAGCATCTGCTTAAAAGTCCGCCTTTTCCATGACAATAGTTATCTAAAATGCTAGACACAATTAATAAAAAGCAAAACTGCTGTTAAGGCAAAAATTGCTGTTAGCAGCCCAAGGGAGGAATATGCCATGGGAAGACTGATTCCCAGAAGGGGCTATCAAAAACCTGAAATTGCCTTTTTTTTTGTCTTAGATTGGAGTTATAGCATGGTACCTGACGCCCAGCATCCTGGAGGAGGGGGAGTAAGACTTTTTCTGCTTTATGTTCACAGTAACCTGAGGAGTAGGTAGCAGAGATATGAGCCAATGGGTGTCATGGGCTCTTTTGGCTACTTCCTCTGATTCTAATCTCTCCAAGAATAAGGGCTGTGTTTACCTGGTGCTAATAAATTACTGGCTACAGTAGGGATCTCAGCCCCTGGACAGTGAGTGCAACCTGCACGTCACGTCTCCAGTGTTTTTTTTTTTTTTTTTTTGGTTGGCCATGGGGCTTGAACTCTGGGCCTGAGCGCTATCCCTCAGCTCTCTAGCTCAAGGCTAGCATACATCATTTTTCTATTAAATAACAATGTGCATGGAAGTGTACCATGCATGGCAAAGCATGATATAAGGTCAGATGGATTTCGTTCTTAGGACTCTTCAACACACTGAAAAGCCCAGCTGATGTGCCATATAACAACATTTTAACCCAGCCAACAACAGGCTTCATGAACTACCCTGTCACAAGACCTTACCCCCGGAGATATCACAGTCATCGCAGTCCGTGTCAGTACGCTCTATGTTTGCACAATGACACCGCCAGATTTCAGAATCATTCCCCAGGCCACACCAGACTAACTGAAGCCAGTGTGAAAAACACGAAGGTGTTCCTCACAGCTGACCAGGACTCAAGCACACTCCCTGTTGTTGTTCTCAAAGTAGCAGAAGCTCTGGCAGGTGAGGATGCTGGAAAAATGCTATTTCACCTGAAGGCCTTTCTTCTACTAGCCAATGATGAGATATTTTGGTGTCTGGGCTCCATTACCATATTTGGGTGGCCTCCTCTCAGAAGATAAATGATATAACTCCATAAAGTATACAAACTCTGCTGGTCTACTAGCACAATCTTTTGTATCAGGACAGAAAAACTTACTAATGAGACACTGCATGAGCATAATAATATGGCTCTCAACTCATTATTTTTGTGGTTGTTGTTGTTGTTGTTGTTGCTTTCTGAAAAGACCCTGAGACCCGAACTCAAGATGTAGAATACAAGATGGAAAAGCAAGTGGATGGGTGGAGGGGACAGATAGAAAGAATACTAATATCCCCCATTAGATATGATGGCTCACACGTGGCGATGGTTTAGAAGGCCGTGTTCCAGTCATGACATCTTCAGCAATTGGCACTGGCTTTAAAAAAAAGACTACGGTCTGGGCAAGACCAGGCTTAGTGAACTCTAAAGACCTTGCTTACCTGTAGCTATTGTCACTTGCTATGAGGAGGCAGTTGAAAAATTCCAGAGACTCACCAAGAGCTAAATGTCCCCAACATCCAAAGTCCAGAACACAGCTCAGAAGGCAGCAAAGAGTTCCAAAGAACCTCTGTATCTAAGGTCCCCATACACAAAACCCTGCTAATATTAGGAGGCAGTGGATTTCAGAGAGCTCAATCCAGAAGGCAGAAACTGCAAGTTAAGACCCAGTATAGACAGGTGGGAGGCTGTATAGAACCATAGTTGGGAGTGAAGACATAAGAACTTCAAGCTGTGGTTACTAGAAGTTTGAGAGGGTTGCTAATGCTTAAGAGCCCAGATCCTGACACGCAAAACCGAGTTGTAACTCTACCTGCTGGATTTCCAGAGCAGTAATTCTTGAATTCCTGAATCCATGATCCTTGGACTTAGAAATCTTGGGGGCATGGGCTTCTAGTTCTCAAGGCTCACAAGCAAAAGCCAAAGCCTCTGGGTTTGGAAGCCCAGCTTGTGAATTTCTGGAACTCAAAGGCCTTCAATAGTAAGAAGCTTCCCCCATGCCTATCTGATTTCTATCGGGATACAGCAAAAGAACTCCCCAGGCAGCTATTGGGTGGCATCAGCTCTTGTTCTAAATCCGTAAGAAAACAACAATAACTTAAAGAAGAGGCTGAGATCTGAGGATCACAGTTTGAATCCATCTCTGACAGCAAAGTCAGGAGACTTTTGTTTCCAATTAACTACCAAAAAGCCAGAAGTAGAGCTGTGGCTCAAGTGGAGAGTGCCAGCCTTGCGCCAAAAAAAAAAAAAAAGCTAAAGGACAGCACCTAAGTCCTGAGTTCAAGACTCCATACTGGCAATAACAACAACAACAACAATAATAATAATATTTAATTTAACTGAAAAGGAAACTGTGGTGACTTTCCAGATAATCTGGGCAGGAAAAAAAAAACCTCATCTTGGAGCTAAAAAAAAAATCTAATTACTTTTCTGAACTCACATTTACCTGGCATGGCACAAATCTAAGCAACACCAACGCAGGTCTAGAGAAGGCAGCTGCTCAGGCCTGTTTCTCAGCCATTTGTCTGCCTGCAGGTTTATGTTTCACACACAGGACGTTTTGCATTTGCTTGGACACCGCCGCTGACCATTTATCATCGTGTGTGCACGTGAACCGCGAAAGCTGGGCCCGATCCCAGAGCCCACTGGGCGTGCTTCGCACAAAGAGCCGGGCTGGGCTGGGCGGAGGCAGGGGACAGGCCGTGAGGGGCCCGGCGGCCCTGCTCCCGCCCCAGCACCAGCCCCACAATAGGATCCCTGCGGTGATGGCCCAAGCACCTTAAAGGAAATTAAAGAAGCTTGTCTTCCGCTTGGGCTCACTGCCCAGCGCCAGCTGGGCACTCGCACTCTGTGCCCCTGCGGGGGTGAGAACCAGCCCTGCCGCAGGCCCCGGGCTCACAGAGAAGGACGGAGTCCAAGGAAGCCCGGCCTCCACTTCCTGTCCCTGGGCGGTCAGCCACCTCGGGCTACCTCCCGCGGGCGAAGGCTGGAGGGACTCCGCAGAGGCCCGGTCCCTCAGTGAAGCCACGCCCCTCCGGCACGCCTGCCGCGGAGGCCCGCCCATCGCCAGAACTCCGCCCCTTCCAGGCCACGCCCCCTCGCAGCCCGTGGCCGGGGTTTGACCACCGCCGGGACCACGCCCCTCGCCACAGGCCCCGCCCCTCGCCAGTCCCGGCCCGGCTCCGCCCCTCGTCCGGTGGCCCGGGGGTGGCTGGAGGAGGAGCGTGCAGGCAGCGGACGGAGCTCTCAGAGCGGCCCGCTGCTCGGTCCCGACCCGGTCGTGAAGCCCCACCGTGCAATCCTCGGTGAGTACCGACTGGTCCCACCCACATCCCAGAGCTGGAGGCCGGGGGGCCACGCAGACCCGGCGGAGTCGCACCGGGCCTTGTGCGCGGCGTCCGGGGCGCCGCGGCCCGGGGGAGGCCGAGGGGCTGGTTCCGGGGGAGTAACCTCCCCGGTGTCGCGCCGGGGGACCCCCCCCCCCCCAGCCGTGGCTCTCCTCCCAGCCTGGTCCGTGCGCGCCGCGGGGAGGCCGTGCGGGGCCGCGAGCGGGGGTCCGGGCCCCGCGGGGTGCGGGCCTCACGGCGGGTCCCTGCCCAGGCCCGGCCCGCGCCCGGACACATCGGGAGTCCTTGTGGGGTGAGGGGGGCGGAGGGGGGTGAGGAGGAGACGGGTGGGCGCACCTCCTTCCTGCCCCCCACCCACCCCTCTGGAAGGGAGTTCTCGAACTTCTTTAATTTTTGGACTCAGTACCCCTTTGCACTCTCCAGAACGAGTGACCGAAGGAGGCTTCGTTCCTGCGATTTGTAGCTGTTATTAGTTATCTATTAGTAAAGCCGAGAAACTTTGAGTGTGAGTAGTAAGTCGCTTAAAATTAATACCAGGCTAATTGTATCTTAACGCTGCACGTTTTTTTTTTTGGTAAACTCTGTTTTCCAAAACGAAGTTACTGAGTACAATGTGGTACTGCTTCCCGTTTGCGAAAACTCTTTTTCAATCTCAACCTTAGAGAAGACAAGTGCAGAGCTAAGTGCTGTGGTACTCTCCTGTAATCTCAGTACTTGGAAGGCTGCAGCAGTTAAGATTCCAAGTGTGGGGTCAGTCTGAGCTAAGTTTCAAGACAGTTTGAGCTACAGAGGACTATCTGTCTCAAAGAAGGAAACTTTAAATAAATAAATAAATAAGTTTTTTGTACCTGCTCCTGCATGCATTCCGGTCTAATAATACATGCCAGGTAGCTCCTGGAGACTTCCACAGTGTCCAGCTAACAAAGGCAAATAGCATCTTAGGCTTCTTATGGTAGTGGTCTTGACCTTGTAGATACATAGGAGTCTGGTGCACCACCCTTGCAGAGTTGTGAGTGTAGGAAATGCTTGAGAGGCTTGATCCACTGAGCCCACTTCTTGTTGGTGATTCGCCTGTAAGTGGAACACCTCCTCCACCCCAACACCAGAGATAGTGTTAAATGTGATCCATGGGACTGAGCTTGATCACTTGGGATACCAAACACTCGCTGCCCACATTCGATGGTGGCTCCTCTGTCAGCCTTCTGAAATCTCAGCGTGGCTCAAATGAGGCTTTGGTTGTTTCTTTGCTTCTGTCAAAGCTGAGCCTGTTTGTGGTCTCAGCATTACAGCATTGATGTTGCAAGCAGAGTCGTGGGTTGAGAGCAGGGCCTCTGGAGAGATAGTGCCAAGTGTGTAGGGTGTGAGGATTACCAAGTCGTTGAGAGGTTATTTCCAAAAGAAGGAAAGAGCAGGGTTTTTTTAGCTCCTTTCCTGGTGCTCACTAGCCATGGGTTTGTTCCAAGAAGCTTCTCAGTCTTGGTGTTCTTTCATTTTCCACTTTCAGAGGTCTCGTGCTGTGTCTAGTCCTCATCCAACCCTACCAGAAAGTGGTTGTTCAACATGTCAGGGAGAGTCCTTCACTGGACTTCACTTCGTCAGCACAAGTTCCTGAACAAAATTATAGACAAAAGACACATCATAGGAAAAAACTTCTCTACTTCTGTCCTCTTCCCCAAAGATTCTGTCATTGGAATAAAGCAGCTTGGACACTGCTGCTGATCATTTATAATAGTGTGTGCATGAGAACCTGATGCATATGTTACTGCAGAGTGAACTAGTGGGAGCAGGGACAGGAACCTAAACTCTGAGCCCCTTTTGTGTTCTTTGTGGAAGATTCTACACGTTGATGGTAGAACCTCACTTGCTTATCGTGTCAGGACATAGTTGCTGATCTGTTTATGACCTACCCAGTTCTGTACTGTATGCTAGGAAAGTGGAGCACAAAAGATAACAGTCCCTGTCTTTCTGGAGATTACAGTCTAACAGTTTAGGTTAATGAGACAATCCTGCCACATGTTTATGGGAAACATGGTCCTATTCCCTAATGAAAGTGTACTTCAAAAGCATGTGCTAAAAATACCAGTGCCACATTGTGAAGATAATGGTAAAATTGAACGTTTATGAGCACATGCCTGACAAAGAACTTCCTTTGTCTTGTTTCCTCCAGCCTTTTTATGGACTAACTCACTATGATTCTCTTAAGTGTTCATTACAGGAAAAGTACTCCTAACCTGGCAAGCCTTAGGGAAGATACTTGATCTTTCCTGGCCCTAGTGACTTTGGCTTAAAAGAGAAGATTTGGACCATTGATAACAAGCGTTCATAGCAACCACTGCTTTACTGCCGCTGCCTCATATTTGTGCCTGGCTCTTCCCAACTCTATGATCAGTGACATCATATTATTTTAGTTTGAAATAAGCTACGAAGAGAATATTTATACCATGGAACAGCCAGGGCTCCAAATCTGGGCTCTTTTCCCCTGGAGAGAATAGTGGTTAAACATTTACTAGAACACCATTGTTACTGTCAGAGCAAAGGTATTTTGTGTTTTTGTTGTTCTTGGTTTTTGTTGTTGTTGTTGTTGTTTTAACATAAAACAGACTCACCTGACCAAAGACATTGGATATGGGGTGTTTTTCACGTCATAGAATATGACTCTGCAAATTTTCTGTGTAAAGTGGAAAACAGAAAAATGGTAGGGTTTGTAAACTATACTATCTCTATTGCAAATATACAGTGTGTAAGCAGTCATAGGCAATGTGCAAAGAAACATGGGTGTGTCCCAATAAAACTTTATTTACAAAAGCATGAGCTAGGCCACAGTTTGCAGGTCCTTGTCCTAGAATATCACAGCAGGAGCTCTGTTTCAAGATCATTTCATAGGAACAAAAAGTCTTCAGGACTTTATCCTAGGGACCTGAATCTCCAAGATAGATATAGCTGGGAATAGGAACTTCAAAGGACTTGGGATTAATCATTAAAGAATTTATAGCAGGTTGTTTAAAGGAATGCCACATGTTCAAGTTTTGAGGACTTAGCCATTGATGCTCAACAGAAATCTGTATTCTCTACTCCTTTTTTGGAGCAGTCCCAGGCCTAAGGTAGATGGACCTGCAGTGTAACTCAATGTGTAGATTTTCTTACACAAAACCCCATAGGATCTCTAACAGCTATCCTGATTTCAGGACCAGCACCAAAGGATATGCTTAAAAAATCCTTGTGCATCTGTATTTTACACATTGTATAGACACACAGTGTGTATTCATGTGTGTATATGCATGTATTATATACATGAGTGGTATGCATGTGCAATTACACAGTTTGTGAGTTTAAAGTAACCTCTTAAATGTATGGAAGACAGACACCAAACCTCAGTGTGTACCAGAAACAGGTTCTGAGCAGTAGAGGTAGAAGCCAATGGGGAAGCTTTATTTTTATAACACTAGATGTGTCTGTGTGCAACATTTATATATTATTTTTACAACTTTACAAAAAAAATCCTTGAAATCTCAGCAAGCTATACTTTTTTTTTTGTCAAGTCATGAGGCTTGAACTCAGGGCCTGAGTGCTGTCCCAGAGCTCTTAGGCTAAAGGCTAGTGTTCTGCCAATTTGAGGCACAGCTCGACTTCTGTTTTTTCTGGTGGTTAATTGGAGATAAGAGTCTCATGGACTTTCCTGCCCAGGCTGACTTTGAACCATAAGCCCCAGATCTCAGCCACCTGAATAGTTAAGATTACAGGTGTGAGCCACCAGCACCAGGCTAGCAAGCTACACTTTTTTAAAACGGAGCTGGGGTTCTTAGGTAATAAAAATCTGCCAGAACCCCTCTCTCTCCCATTAAAACTAATTGTCAAATTACACTTCTGAAGTAGTATTTGCAGTGCTAGCATATATAAACTCAAACTGTCATTGAAAGCAGGCCCTTCTCAAGTGAAAACTTTTTATTAAACAGTATTAATGTTTGACTCTTATTAACTCTTGTCCAAGGTTAGAAGTATTAGATCAAAGTGTCTCTTAAAGGGCCATTATGCAGTCTTTATACTGGTGTTATAAAAAGGCTATGGATTTGCCAAAAGGTTAAGTGGCTTCTCTTGATGGGGGAAAGGGGTATAGATTTTTAGGTTTTTCTTCACCTTTATTTACAAGTGTTTCCCAGCATGAACAAATGATAAACTTGATATGAGCAAAACTGGCCTCTATTGTTGTTTGCACATACTGAGGACACAGTGGCCTCCATTTTTTTTTATGCTGACTTATCACCAGCCTGCCTGGAAGCAGAACCCTGCTGGGTTTTTCCCCCCAGTGGGAAGTAGAAAGATAAGTGAGAAGAGCCAGGCCTGAGGAACTGAAGACAGGCGTACCGTAGTCACGGAGTGCTGTCGACTTCCCCCAAGGTCTCTTCTGACCCTTCTCTGCCATTAATCACAAGGGGACATGAGAAAGTTCTGCATGGGTTTAATGCCTTCCGCTGACCATCATTAATTGTCCTTCATTATTATTATCATTATTTTAAATTTTTGGTGAAAAATATCAGAAGTACAAAGAAGTGAAATGGAAACTGTAGATCCTCCCCCTCTACCATGATGAACACTGACACTTGTCCAATCTTGGTTTCACTTGGACCTTTCCTTGACCTCACTCCTTTTTCCCTCTACCAGGCATTGGCTTCTTCATGTTCAACTATTGAACTTCACACACACACACACATTCTTTTTGGTTGTGACTGTTAAGAAGCTAGAGTGTATTGCCCACCACCAAGGAAGTCTTAAAATTATCCTGTCCTAATGGCAGTCTGTTGGAGCTTCTGCAGCACCTGTACACTTGCTGTTTCTCATTCTTTCCTTTTGTATTTGCTCTTCCCTCTAAATGACTCAACCTGTCTTTCAGTCTTCTGCATAGCCTTTCTCAAATCCCAGCAGTAACGCTCTTTCTGTGGACTTTTCTTATGACCATTATC